CAAGATACCGAACACAAGTTTCTAAGCAACTCATCTCGAAAAGTGAATTTTAATTAAATTCTCTTTATTTATTGCTAACAGGGTTTTCACTATTTCAAATGCACTTCAATTGCTGAATTATTCTTGTATAATGAAGTTTCTATTGCTGCTGACCGCCATGCCTTCTGGAAATGTACATGATAAATTAGGCAATTTGAATAGAGAGTTTTAGAATTTTCGGAAATGAGAAGCAATACAAATATCAACTAACTCGCTGGGTCCGAATTCGGGGTTTTCCGATTACCAGCCAAACGTACAGTGTTACCACTTTTACCACAAAAATACGCAGGGGATAAAACAAAAATTCCTTATAAACTCATAAGCTTTATTGAATGTATATGTCTTACTGAACTTAGGCTTACAGAATTTTTGTTACAGACAACCTCAAACTGTATATAACTCATTTTTATTTTTAAATTTTCTGATTATAATTTCCTGTTTAAAATACCAACATTAATAATCAATTTATTTTTGATGTTTCAGCTCGTAATTGGTTTTAAGACATAAAATGCATAGCTATATCTGTTGAGGAATTATCGTGCCTTGGATGATGCGCTATAGTCGAAATTTATTCATGAAAACAGCAAAGAGAAATCACAGCATATAGCTTGTTTTAAGAACACTATTACATAAATAGCATAAATTAATTACATAAATACCCTATTACATCAGTTTAGCAGTGTTCGTAAAACTGATTAAGTAGAAACTCCTCATTTAATTGTTAACAACGCTGACGGAATAGTTGGGCTTGATTCCCGCATACTTACAAAGGGAGGCGTAGGTTGAAACGAAAACAGTAAGAAAAGACGTTACTATATGAAGTTCAAAGATGATAAACGCAGTGCTGAACTAGAGCTTAGTAATTTATGACATTCACTTACATTCGGGATACAGCAAGCTATTTTAGCTTATAACATAGTATTTCTCATACATTATATGTGCGGTTGCTGCAATTATGCATGGGACCTAGTATTATAATACGTAGAGCAGACTGGCAGCAAGCAACATTTCTAATTCAAAGTCCCGGATGACATGCATTTGTTTGGTCTATCTATTTCTCGTTGCAGTATTTGATACTGTTGGATAATATGGTCGTATATCTCAGAGCTGGAAGTAAAGGGTTTAGTTTCTTTCCTTCCTATCCAATTTAATCTGATGTTGAAATGCTCCCTCTTTGCAATTATGAAAACTTATGGGCTGTAAATTATAATCTCAATTTAGTTGATTATTTGATGAAGGTACATGCAATTTCAAAATTGTTGTTAAAAATTAATCGCGATAAAGGAGCAATTATAATCGGTTATTTAAATTTGGCAACGAAGTTTCTGATTTCTTATCAGATAACTAGAATCTGTATCACAAGAAATTGCCAAAAATATGGCTTGAAGATTAATCGTAATGACTTTGAATACGCATTTATTGATTTTATATGTATTTACTTAGAAGTCATTAAATGCATTTACATATATATTTTATATGTAAAATAGCTCAAAGTATTTTGATGGACAACAGCATCGGCTGACTTTATATAAAATGATCCTATAACATCCATTAAAAATTTTGCCATCAAAGTGTGTCCAGAGCATGAATAATATTCTGAAATTTCGAATGTAGAAATGGTTTCACCTCGAACGTGATTGACATCTTCAGTTGATTCTGTCTACATATTTTTCAGAGAAGTGTAGCCCCCATGCTGTCTCGGTCTCGTTCCTTTTTCTCTAGCTCACAAGTATGCATACTTTATTCGTGAAGACTAATTTTAATTTTTATAGCTTTATTTCAATTTTTAATACATTTCATTTTAGTATAATTTAATAATTACATAATGGAATATACAAAATCAATATAATTAAAATTATTCTGTATTCGTAGAACAATTATAATTCTTTTATGAATAAAAATATTTAAATGTATTATTAATAAGTAAGTAGCTAATGCAGTTAAAAAGAACGTATTATGCAGCAACTTTACCTCATTATCTGTCTGATGGTTTGATGATTCAAAATTGTCTAATTTTGTTAAACATTGAATTATTTACCATTTAAAAACTGTATAAAATTGAGGTGATTGGAATTACTTAAAACGGCAGAATATTTAATATACGTGAAAAAAAGTACAATCTCATTAAGACATTGAAAGTAGTATTTTATTGCACAAAATTATTTAAAATATCATACTACTGAAATAAAAATTTAGCATTTTGAAATTATTTTAATTTAATTTAATTACATGATAAAAGCGATTACTTTGTTTTCAACAGGTTTATATATTTATTAATTTCTGATTAGTTGAATTTAAAAATTCTACTGGAAATGGAATGTAAATTTAAATTCTTGCTGCTTTCGACATTTTCCAGTTTCAAAAAACGTACAAAAACTATTCAGTAAATTTCCTTCAAATTTTATAACTTCTATTAACTATGAGAATTGTTTCAAAAGAATTACCGGATGCATGAGTTTAAACTGCCATTTGGAAAAAGGAATTTTTCATTCAAGCAAAATATTTCAAAATTAGGCAATAAAACTCTTATTCAAATTGTGGATTCTAAGTCATCTATGATTAAAGTAAAAAATGCATAGAAAACTATGCTAAATATGTCCACATCAATAAATTTTCATTGTTCCTCTGTAATATTCCTCTATTTTATTCTTTCTCATTTATGATATATTTAAGCAATTTTTTGTGAGCTCATAAATTTAAGAAATTTTGATGTCTAAGTTCACATTTACATCTAAATTCTCCAACGTATTAAGACTTTGTTTCATTTTACCGTATGATTTACGCAATTTTATAATGTCAAATGTTTTTAAGTGTATTATGAAAACCTCGTACCGAATGTTTGAAATCCTCGCGGTGAAATGATAAATAGTAAGATTTCATTGTCAAAAGTAGCTGACTGAATATGATAAAATTGGAATGAAATTTACTTTTCTTTCGTTTTGTAATGTAAACGTCGTATTTTTAAAACCTCCCATTAACGCACTTCTCCTTCTTAAGCAGATAGATATCGCGTACTTTGCCATAACTTAAATAATCCTAAAGTGAAGTTTGTTTTTGTTTGATTTTCGAAATAAAGTCCATTTTACATCTGTTCATAGTATAAAGTTTATATTCTGCTTGCCTTACAAAATAATGTTTATATATACTAACAGATGTACCATCCTCTTTCCCTAGCACTTTTTTTACGAAATTACATTAGCAGTTATAATAATCATTTTAGATTCCATATAAACTGGATCCTGCATCTAAAATCAACCAATAAATTTTAACAGTCGCATTTTTAAATCATTAAAATTTTAAATATTAGATTTTGTGATCGACGTTTCGGATTTATAGATCGACTTCTATAGATCTATAGGTATTAATAAGGTGAAGCACTGTTGGATCAACATGAACTGCAAAATGTTTGATAAGAATTTAAATTAAACTCTTAATGCTATTTTTATTAAGTATTCGATTTCGATTTGATTTTATAAAATAGTTTTTATTATAGCTAAAATCTTCTAGATAAGGTAGGTAAAGAGTTAGCTCAAAAGGTTGCCATATAGAAATTTTAAAGTTAAACAGATCGAGAAAAAAATGTGGATGTGGAAAAATGTGGATACTATATATATTTTTAGTATTTAATTCAAAATGCTTAAGTATTGCTGTATATGGCATTTAATTTAGCATTGCATAATATTTAACTTTTTAAATGTTGCTTCATTTTAATTACCTTCCTTCTGCTTTCAGTCTACGTTTTCTTGCAAAGTAAATTGTTTTCAAACATCATATTCAAACTTATAGATATTATACAGCGATATATGCATAATAGTTTCGGAAAATATTTATCTCAATTTTCACGAATCATTTTCTTGTACGTATAATTATCATTTCCATTTTATAAATGTACTCGAAAACGTATTGAAATAACAATAATTACTTTTATTTCTTAAAATATTTTTAAAATTTGAGTACAATAACTTTATAATTGGAAGAGGTTCTGTTACATTCCCATTACTATTTAGAATTTGATTTCTTAATCACTGTTTCAGAACGAATTTTACAGCACATAAAAACATAAAAAAGAGAGCATTACTTGAATAATGGCAGAGAGATTAGTCAGAAACAGAGAAGTAATTAAACTAATTCATTTGAATTCGTTCTGAAACAATAGCAGAGGGTTTTTAATTGACAAAGATTTGAGAACTTCAGCTGCACATTTCAGATCAAAAAGAACTTCGCAGCCCGGAACAATTGTGGAATTAGAGAGAAATTGAAAAATATAGTGTTATTAATTATTTAGAGCAACTGGAATATCCTTGATAACCAGATAACAGATGTTTTAACAGTTTAACAGATGACCATTTGCCAAGATGATAAACTGTAAGGGAACGAATGCGTATCTTATGCGTTGGAAAGAAAAATGCGCAATCCTTCTTTCCAATACTAGCATTTGGCAAAACATTCATGCAATTTACACACATTATTTCCGTAATAAATACTCTTCTACTGAGCATACTTTCTTATTGAACGTGTATAGACTCCACATAAGAAATGCAATTACTAGAATATTATTGAACAGTTACTGTAAACATTTATTTTGCTTCTTTAATTTATGTAAATTGTTTCTATGATCCCCATAATGAAATATTTAAACAAAATCAGAAGAGATGAAAATGCTTATTTAAAATATACTAATATATATATATTATTTACTGTATACAAAATATTATAAACAAATATAATAATAATTACTTATTAGTTCATTGATTACTAATTCAAATAAAATAAGTATTACGCAGAATCCAGAAAAAATAATGAATTTAAGCAATTATTTTATTAAATTGCAAAGTAGGAAGAGTATCAAGTAAATAACTAAATTTGTACTTAACATATTTTAATTTGCTTTAGAGCAGCAATTAAGATATATTATTAAAACTAAATGTCCGTTTACAGATTAAACTGAATAATTCCCTTACCAGAAACATAGAGCCTCTGTGAAACATGATTTGGTGAAAGGAATACTTTTAACGCTTCGAATCTGGCAGAACTGCTGTAACCGCTGCTATATCTAGTCGTCAAATAAAAACTCTGCTCACAACTAACTGAAATTCTCTTGTTGAAATCGTCTGAATCGAGTAGTTTTCTTTTCCTCCCGCCATGGAACACAAAGCAACTAACAGCGCGCAACCTGTTCAGTGTACCGTGTCTTGCAAAATAAAACGAACAAGCAAAACAATGCAAATACAGTCCAGTTCATGTCACTACAAGGATGTTTCTTTTAGCAGCCGAACGGTAGTTTAAGTGTTGAATATTTGTTTGCTAGTTTTGATGTTTATTGTTTACCCTCTCAGACTGAATCACGTATATCGGAAGGGTGGCAACTGCTGAGCAGTTTGATAGGATTTGCGAATAATCTTCACTTCCTGGTTATTAAAATTGGATTTATATGGATAATTTTTATGTTACACGTTCCGCTTTTGCAGGGTGACTGAATCGAATAAGTTGTAAATGTTCAACGTTCTTCAAAATTATTGGCTTAAAGTAGGCAAAGTTAACGACGCGCATGTCCTTGCACTTAAATTTTTTTAATTTATATAGAATTTCATATAAGCTGACTAAATCCAAAAAGCGTAAATCAGCAAAATTATATATATATATATATATATAATTTAATTTTACAGGTTTTAAAGTTTAATTTGCATTTTATCGCACACATTTGTACAACAGCTGCACCATTTTTTCTTTATATTTGTATAAATGAAGACGGAGTAATCCAAATTCCAGCCTCTTGTAACTCTTAATCTCAGAAATAAGACTCGTATTTAAGCATGGCTCCCGAGTGAGCTTTTTTTATAATTTATTTATTTAAAATTTTATCTGTTTAATTTAGTTATTTATTTATTTAATTTTAAAATTATAATATATTCTTTTATTTATTTTTAATTTTGCTTCGCTTTGCTGACGGTCTTCAGCAAAAATATTACACTCTGATATATCTGATTTTAGAACTTAAGCCCTGATTTAAATGCAGTTTAAATGCAAATCTACAGCAAACAATACCAATTTCATAAAATTATTTATAATGTTCTCAAAGTTTCGTACATGGCTGTATAATAAATAACATATGGCAGGTTTCTATTTGTATATGAAATTAGTTTTAGAAATCCTGGATTTTAGATTTAAATTTGGTTATTATTCCCACAGAACTGTTAATTTTCGTAGTTGCGGATAATAAAGCATTTCTTATATTACCATGAATTTACTCTTAGTAACATAAAAGCTTATCAAGATTTCTGGTAGCGGAAAATTCTTAAATATTTATTGAAAAGGAAAAGTGAACATGATTTAAAAGTTACGAAATCGGGGAAAACAGCGATAAGAATCAAATGAGCTTATAAGAGGATTTCGGTAGGGATAAAAAATAAAAGACTGTCTTTAAGTACTTATGCATGTCTGTACCTGCCTCGAGAAAGAAAAACCGGAAAAGATAGGTAAGATGAAATGCAGTCTCATATTTAAAACCTACGATCTACACTGTGTTTTATGCTTCCTGACAACACTTTCTTCAAGCTTCGCCTTTTTAAATTTAACTTGAATGCAAGAACTGTGTAGTAAACCTGCAACCAGGTTTAATACCCCTTCAAAATTCTTGCCCATTTTAAAGCAATTTAAATTGAAATAGAACTTTAAATTATGAGGTATAATTTTTATAAAGAAATAACAATATATTTGCTAAACGTTGCTTCTCCTATTGACACCATAGTAACTGCGACTACTATATATGAAATATTACGCCATTTAAATTCATTATATTACATTGGAATTTTTCCCGAAGTTCATGAATCTTACAAAATTTTATTTAACGGTTACGCATGCAAAGAAACTTCTGTGAAATTCATAGTAAAATACAATTTTGATATCGAAGTTTGGTAGATTTTAATAATGAAGAGCAATAAGAGAATTAGACATTCACGTTCTGAGTTAATTTCTGGCGTAAAGATGGTTTATCTTTTTAGAATTAAAACAAAGCAAATCAGAATTTCCCAAAATAAAATTTTGAAGTGAGGTTCGGTTTGAATTTTACATTAAGTTTCCGCAAAGCACTCGATGTATACCTTCTTAAGCAATGATTTGCTTAGTAAGGACTGGTTACACATAAAGGGAAACTAAAAGCATTTCTATGCAGCTAGCTCATTCGTTGGGATTTGAACTCCAGTGCTCAGTGGGACGATCATATCACTGAACGAGCTACTAATGTCCAATGGTATTATCCTTCATCAAACAGCATTTCTCATGACCACATTCAACAGATCTCTCATATAGATATCTCATATAGATTTGAGCAAGCAAACCCTCTCGTCCGAAAATTTCCCGATCTTGACTGATCGCTTTTGGCTAATTCACAGCCAAAAACTTTGGTCCACTTTACAGCTTGAAGTGAATACCAGAATTTATCCTCTTTAGGAATGCACTCATTTTCATGAATCTTGGAAAACTGACTCCAAAAAGTCAAATACTCTTTTGCATCATCACTAAATTTCTTCAGTTCTATCTTCGGTAACTTGAACTTCCTTTATTCAGAAATAATTTCTCTAAATGATTTAACATTTAATATAGTTTCCTATCTTGATAATTATTCAATTCAGAGACACACTTCCCAAAATGTATCACGATAAGTTTCAGCAGATTCAAAATCTTCTTCAAATTCTTTTTCATTATCCTTACCTTTTAAAATATCTGCAGTCAGCTCTTTTTGGTATTCTTCTTTCTAAACGTGTAAATTTTCTCTTTATCTGAGACTCTAAAACTGAAATAACTTTCATATCGAGAACTTCTTTAAGTAACTCATTTTATATTTTGTTCACGCACGCTGTAAACGTTGCTTTCAACGATTTTCTCTGAGTTTTCAAACTTGTCACATCCACTATCTCTTATCTGTTACTATCACTAGTTACCGAAATCGCCCTACTTATGGGCACCAAATTATTTTATGTCTTGCAATGAAGGCTAGATCTGAAAAGTAATACAATAAAGAACGTCAACTCGACGTTACTTCGGTAACTACTAAAATAAAGAGATAGACGTAACAAAACACAGTTTAATTACATAAAAACTACACTAAACATGCTGACATTTTCTGACTACATCTGGTAACTAAAGAAATTACATCTCGTTGCTACATTCTAAAGATATTAAACGTAACAGTTTATCACATGACGTCAGTCTTTGACTCGTGTAGTTTGGCGATTGAAATGATGCCACTAGCAATGCATTGTATTTTCTCTGATACTTATTATTTGGAATTCTGATTGCAAGGAATTTTCTCCTTCCTTACCACGTGCCTTAGTGGTGTAACTAGAAGCTCGTCCGCTTGCAACCGGGAACTCCGAAGTTCGAATCCCGGTAAGGGGATTGCTGATTTCTTAAGTTCCTTTCTCTGAATTTAGCATAATATCTCTTCATGATTAATTGGTGATATAAAACACCTACCTTTCTTTCAATGCTCAGGATCAAAGGGCGTATAGCAAAAATATGACTAGATTTCAAGACATCAGTGATTTGATTTAATGCTTGGTTGGGAAACGCTTTGAGCAACTGGCGATTTGTTTGTGTTTGGATCTATAATGGAGGATTTATATTTTATAAATTGAATTTAGAAACATTCTGTCGCAGTCCCAATTAGAAGCTGTTAGATGCTCAAATATTAAAAAACGCTTTGTCCATCCTGTACAGGTAATATAAGCTGTAGTATCACTGGGTGTTCTCTGAAACTCTAGGCTGTGAAAAAATGAGTTCGTCTATTCGGTGACAAGAATTGGCAAATGGATGTATCCCTAATGACTATTCTACCATTTTACTGGCATAGGTCATTTTAATCTTCTTAAATAATGTATTAGAGCTTTATTAAAACCATTTTGGTCTTTCCTTTACCTACATATGAAAAAACCATTAACAGTTAGAGCTATATCTGCAAGTGATGAAACCTGTCTTTAAATCATTTAATAAAAATATTGAAGAGAATAGGTCTGATGGAAGTTCCTTGTGATAGGCTTGCTCTTGTCTGCTTAAACGTACAAACATTCCTCCTTAATAATAGCATAGAAGCATTGGCTTAGATTTAGGTATATTGATTAGGGAAAAGAAACTCGAGGGCTATCTGCCTATGGTAAGAGAAGGTTCATGGAAGATCCGCTATTATAAGCTGCTTTGTATCTAACTTATGCATGGGAAAAGTCATGAGGCTTCCATACAACCAGCCTGTTTGCTGGGAATCAAATTTGGATCTAATTACCAGTATTTAGCATCTTTATCACGCAACCGCTGATGGGCCAAAAAATATTGGGAAAATGTTTTTAATCTATAAAAGCATATTTTCTTGAGCATCTGTGTACTGCAGCTTCTTTAATGTTACGCAGTCATCAAACTATATCATAACTGGATTCGAAATCCCTAAGTGCTGCAATGAGAGAGGTATGCTTTGCAATTGTAACCTTAAAAGTGAAGTATGTTGATTTGTTGAATTATCTTGTCTAAACCCACTTATGCAGGAGAAAATAAATTAATGTTCCTCAAGCACCAAATAAGTTGTTAAATAGCCGTTCTACACTCTATATAAGCAAGGTATGTGCTAACACAATGGCATTTATGAATACTAAGTTGTTAACCCAACGCTTCGAATGGATTTTACTTTTCAACCAAAGCTGTATTTACTTAATACGGAATGAAAGAAACTACAGATTCCACAGTAGAAATCATGCAGTTTGATATTTGAATAATTTTAAATACATAGAGCTAATACTGTAAAAACCTTATTTTCGTTAAAATGCGCATTAGTTACTCTTCTTTATATTCTACAGTTTCTTTCAAACATAAAATATTCGACTTAAAAAGTAAAATATTGGTTGAGAGAGAGAAAACAATGTCTCAAAAGATTTCAGACATTTATGAACCTGCAAATAAAATAGTGAACAATAAATAAGATATTATTTTGGTTCTTAGCAATGGGTACCAATAAAATAGTCAGCTTAAATAATTTGAAAACGTTCACTTAAAGTTTGTATTGTTTCAATATTTTATTGCTGTGGCTGCTTTAAGAAAGCAAACATTGCTAGAAAATCTCCAGTTTATGATTAACTATTTATTTCTAGTGACAAAAGAATCTGATACCTAAAGTTGCTAAAATAAACATTCGAATGCATACAGTTTGGTATGAGAGAATGCTAGTCAAAACATCGCAAAATTCAAAATAAAAGATTTCTTGGGAGATCATTAAACATATGTA